CTGCTCTTCCGCTTTCTCGCTAATCCCCATTCACGGGGTACTATGGTGATGCATGTATGGATGGGATTGAACGCTGATAAAATACATGCTTTACATTTGTTAAGATTGCTTAGCTTATACGAGGTTGTTATAAAACTTTTGTTCAACTAACGCCTCTACGTCATCGTCTTCTTCAGATCCAATGGTCTGAGTCGATGGTCCAAAATAGTAATTAACTAGACCGACTTCCACTTACCCTCAGCGTGAATACTTGATACAATTGTTTACGAACAAGTGGAAACGTTAGCCGAAAAACCTTTCATACCAACCTCGCGCAACGTGGATAATCTACACGAATGCATTGATTTTTTTACGCCGAGGTTAAGTGAAAGTCGGTCTAGTTAATTACAAGATTTTACTTCCTCTATGGTACGGCTCTGCATAACTGACGAATTTTCTGCCTCTGTTGCGAACTGAATGTGCCTTTACTACAATCGTATATATATACATATATATATATATATATTTATATATATGTACACGTGCACCCGCTTGCGAATTGCACTTTATCTTGGAACGATAGGTGAAGCTAAAAGACTATAATTAAGTTATTAGGAAATATATGGTAGATGGATATGGTGTCCCTCCGACAAACGGTATAGGTGAATACTTCGGGAAAGCCGGGTACCCGTGAATATACTCGACCCCGTAGCAGAGCCTGAATTCTACACTTAGGCTATTTATACCCACCAAAGTGACAGAAACACGCTTTCTAATTCCTCCGACACGAGAGGAAGAATGGCATTTGATGGAGTAGCGATGAGATGAACCAATACGGCAATACTGCCTAAATGTCATGATCATTCTATGCTGCCGAATTCTGAAAGACCTTTCAGCGAACGGACGTTGGGGCTGAAATCCTCTAAACGCCTTTAATGCTATGTAAGAAGATTAAGTGAAGACTAAGTTCGACGTTGCTGGATTGGTCAAGTCGAATGGACACGGTCCATCAGATACTATTTATGTTATGGAAAAAGAAATGCTTGTGGGAATATACAGTGGAGGAAAACTCGGTAGAGGTCGAGTTAATTCCGCCGTTAGTATGAGACGAAGATCGATTCTATTGATAAATCAACCCAATAACAACTTAGAAGGAGTCTCTATCGCTTGCGCTCTAACAAAGCTGTGAAGGAGACGAGGTGGAGCCTCTTGAGTGCTTGCAGAAGATGTGTAGGTGCTATTGTAGTTGAACACAACGTTTCCTGATATTTCCGGCATTGCTCTCGGGTAAGGTTCTCTTTGTTGTGGAAAACAGAGAAACCTAAAAAAGCCGATGAACAGAGCTGCAAAACTGTCGTAGATTGGGTTTTGTGGGATTAAAATATAGTTTTTACAAAAATATGTTTTGGAATGTCTACTTTGAGGGAAATAGTAGATGGAATATATCTTAACTGAGTTGCTAATGTATTGGTTTCATGTTTATTTCTCAATAGTATTCCTTTCAGGCAGTACCTATCCATCAAAAGCCGCTACTTTTCGCAAATACTTTATGGCTGGTATGTCAGGCTTTGCAGTTTTGCAGAATAGATTTCTCTGTTTCCTATAATTGTCGCCCTATTTCCAGGACAGCAGATGGTAGACCATGCTGCTCAGCAAGTTCCAGAAGGTGCCGATTTCATGGAAAGGTTTCTCATCACGAAACGAAAATACATCGCTTTCCTACTCCCAGTGGCAGTTGTGGAGGTACAACCTGACCGGAATTATATCTAGGGTTTTTACACGCTGTCATGAAAATATACTTGACTTTGCTGTCGTCCTATGACGGCACTGGTGCTGCAGTTGTCTTTTTTTGAATTTCTGGTAACTGAAGTAGAATTCGATATCGTAAAGCACTTCAGTTGAGCTTAAAGTCTTTGAAAAAGACCACGAAATTGAGGAAATCAACTATTGAGCGCTAGTCTTTAACACTATTACGACGTTTTTATAGTTGTAGATTGGACTGTGCTTAGTTTTCTCTCCCCCTCCCATCCCGCACCCACACGCAGGTGTATTAAATTCAATATTTGTGACTTGTGAGTTGAAATGCCGAAATTCCCTTTCCAAGAAATAGCTGGCGTTTTTGTATTTTTAACTCTATCCCTTGGTTCTTCTAGTTATGTTGTCCACTACTTCTGTTTTTTATTTCTTTGCTGTTCTTTTCTGTTCCTGTTTCGTTTCCTCTCAACGGTTTACCGTCTCATCGTGGCTTGGAGGTTTTACTGGGTGTCGGACTGCGATGCACAGCGGGAGATTCATCCCATGGCAGGGCCTGCCAAGCTGAGAAAGAGTCCGGCGCTTCCATTAGGAAGCCTAGTCAAGAATAAATCAATACCAGGATCCACCACCATGCTGGTATCGTGGTATCAAAGTCGCATGGCGGCGAATCACCCTGTGATCCACAAGGGCTGCGATTGCCTGTCGTGGTGAGGACCCGGGGCAGACTTTGGCCAGACTGACCTCGGGATTCCAGGGAACCACAGTGGCTTAACCAGCAAATCTCCAAAAATGGAGATTGTGCTGAGGCCCGCACAACCAGTGAGGACCGGCCATTCAAGTATCAAGCACCTGTTCTTTACATTCTCCAATGTGCTTTTTTTTAAAATACTTCTTGGAACACTTATATCTGTGGTCTGCGGTGCATGAGGAATCCTGCATAGCTTAGCCATGATAGTGTCGAGTAATCGCTTTCACAACATTCGTAGAGTGTACTTCGATATTTTTTAAAAGTTTTTAAAAAATATCCACTCATGTTGTACGATAACCATGTTTCCCTTTGTTAATGATTAAAAAAACAGCCAGTAAATTCACAAATTCTCATTCGTGAAATCGTAGATGAAGGGCGAACACTCTAAAGACAGCGAGTCGAGGTCTTCCAGTCGAGCAGTATGAATGTGAGGACGAGTTTGATGAGAATCGGGAATCGACTAGAATTGGATCCACAGTTTCTGTTTAGATGCCACGGATTTGTAGTAATTTCTGAATCATTTCTAGTTTACATTTGGGATCATTTGGGATCTGCCATTTGAAGAGTCGAACAAACACGGGAAGAGCCTCTCCAAAAATCCGCAACTGTTAAAGAGATGAAAAATTTTTAAAAAATTAAGAAAAATTAAAATTAAAAAAAATTTTAAAAAATTAAAATTAAAAATTAAGATTCGTGCTTAATGGAGTGAGAGTAGAAACAGAAGACGGACAGATGAAGCAGGCGTTGGTTCATCTCTATTAAGCCGTCAATACAACCGTATGGTCGAAACATTTTTTCTTACTCTATTTAACATTTACAATAGGGCGAAAACAAGGGAGTCAATAAGACCCACGCGCCGTCTGGAGATATAATCCTATTCCACAAATATATTGCACATGAGAGGTGAAAGTGTAGGACAAAATGGCTTTACCGTGGAGTAGAGATAGAGAAAAGTAACCTCTAACTTTTATTTACTGATTAATATTTTTTTCCCACAGCATAGTGCTACGTGAAATCCAACACGATGATGCAGAGGTACGAGTAAAACTCGGAAACCCAAGTCATCTTCGAAAGCTCGATTACCCTTTCTGGGGCGCAAGTGTTATCCATTGCACCAACCGAGGCCAATGCTTTGCTTTTCTCTAAACCAGCTTTTTGCTTAACGGTGCTATTTAGCAGTTAGCTGTCAAAGCGATTGATCTGAGGGGCACAATTCAGCAACGAACCGTGTTAAACTGAAGTAAAACACTGTAATTTCGATTGCAACTCCTGTTTTGGTTAAACGCCGGTTTGTGCTTCATAGATCATTCATGTTGATGGGTGGTATCACCTTGAAAAATTAGTTGAGAGAAAGGCAAAGCAAGGTCCTCACTTGGTGATGTGGATAGCACATGAACCACCGGAAGAGGTAATCATGGGTTTACAACTCTTATACGACTTTTTGTATAAGTCGGTGTACGACTGTCGCGTTTACTGAGAGCTTCATCCGAAGGGAAGTCGATCTATTTTGTACATGTACAAAGAGAGGAAAACGTCATTCCAAGTAGGTGACTCAACAGATGCTGAAGAAAAAGCAACCGAAGGCCCGGCGCAGTCGGAGTGACATAATGGTGTTTAGGTGAAACAATAGAACGAACAATTAGCATGATCTCGACGAGGCGTGCCACTACCATTTCTACTAACTCATTGACGCTGCACATTATTGACAACTACAACGAAGGAAAACATCTCGTGGACGCAAGCAACCAAATAGCCTTATATTCTCTATTTTATCAGGCTATTTACATCGGCTTTTCTTTATACTATAACTTCACCAAAAGCCACAGGAATTGCAAATTAAAAAATTTTCGCTTGTCACATTGCTAGTTCCAGTTTAAAAGTGTGGGTACTGAAAGCAATGATTAAAACAGCTCCAGATTGATAAAAACACCTTTGGCCAGGTAGAGGGTTGTGAGTCCAGAACAGTAGTTGTTCATAAAGAACCACTGGGTGTGGATAGAATCTACACCTTTGCAAGACCCTACGTAGTTTAAATTACTTCTTTTAATGACACAGATTACTCATTTCTACCATAATTTTAACAATTAAACGCGTCCTGAATGGATTCGTTCTGAAATCTCGTCATCGCTAGGCGATTTCCTAGGATTCAAACTGTGTTCACATGTACGACAGAGACATTTTAATTTTCTTTTCCTCAGCAATTGTCGCTTACTCTCTTTTCGCGGTGTGCAGAAAGTTGGCCACAAGTTTATAGAAACAACTGAACCTCCTGAAATAACCAAATTTCTCTCTGGAATATGAAGTGGAGAAAACTGCGACTTTTCTTGGACATCGTTGACTATATCTGCTAAACGGAAGCTATCGCTTAGTACGAAAAACGAAGAATGCATTGAAATAAATGCATGTTGTATGATGTACCAACCTCATGCATGCATTGAGACGAATGTAATAGGTTTGTCGACGAAGATCATTGTGCTGGGTGTCAGTGTGCTGTCTGTTCTTTCTCCTAAAAACTGTATTGTTCCAGGTTCTGTGGTGGCTGACAGCGTATCGATATGGCTGGTTTCCTCTGTTCAGCACGCGATGGCAAATGCCTGTCGTCATGTTGCTTGGCTCTACCGTCTCCGGTTAGTTTAGTTTCGTTTATGGCGTGCGCAATCCTAGTATATAGCAACATAGCGGTTGCCTCTACAGTGAAGAAACGATTGTCAACTAGAGTTCTCAGCAATTGTGAAATTAATGGCAGAAAAATGTGCTAAATAAGTGAGTAAAAACTACTTTGAAGTGTCATCCACTCGATGATGGAGTCAGTCCATGGACCAAATTCTCTATAGTACCCTTTATTTAGGCATGACATCTGAAGGCGGAGGAGCCGTTGCATTTCCTATTATGACGCTGTGTCTTCAAATCGATCCACTAACGGCTAGAGACTTTTCCTTGATGATACAATCATTCGGTGAGTAAGCTTTTTATCTGCATATAAACGGTCTAGGTTTTACCCTTTTACGGTTAGTTTAAATGTGAAAGCAACTATCCATATAGCCACAACCCTGAACGAATTGTTTTAACATGTAACTGAAATAAACCATTTAATTGCAAGCAATACTACTTTTGTACTTAGGGACTTGGACGACCGGTTAGCACGAGTAAGGTAAGGCTTAGCAGATTTTCCATTCGTTTCTTACCCTCGCAACCGTCGTTCATGGTAATAATCTTCTTCAAGGATAGTGGCGTGTGCGAGTACCAACCACCCCATGCTCAGAAACCGTTTGTAGTAGTAAATGCAGCTGATTGATTTTATTTACAAACACGTCCATCGATTGCCTGAATAGTTGTCCCAAATAAGATTTCCATCCCTTTGGAGTGCATTATCCATTGCTTTTCGTCCGTCACTCATCTGTTTTTCTTGCTATAAGACTAGCTTTGAGCAGTGGTTAGAAGTACCCTGCCATACACATGGGATCGATCTCGCGCCGTAGGCGCACCGAGCATTCCATCCCTCTGGAGTCGGCAAATTGCTACCAGACCTGTTTGGGAGGGTAATATAATAGCACTGGCTCGACACAACGATAGGCTACATCGAGTTATTGTATAGGCTCGATATGCATTAAATCACCTCTAGCGATGCTCAGCGGAGGCGAATGCGTATGGCGTATTCCTCAAGGATTGATCAACGCTGAGAGCTTTATATTTTTTTATTTATTAACAACCTATGTGCTATTTCTTGGAGCTTCAGGATGGGATAAGTGCCGAGGATCTAAGATGTGGAGTCCAGGAAAATGTTGTGCTCACCGATTGTGCTCTACAGGATAACGCTTAAACGCTTTCGGCGGAGTGCACAGAATTTTTGACGTGAATGAGATTTTAACCGAAGTAATGCCATAGAGTCACGAAGATCTTCATCCGTTAAATGATCGGTGGCCTTTGTAAGAGGTAGGAACATAACTTTTGCTGCTCTCCTTCTTCTCTCTAACTTCTCCATTTTTTCTTTGGGCTCATGGAGCGCCCTGAATACGTGCAGAATGTGACGTGTGTAATCAGTGCATCATCTTGTTCGATTTACTTACTTTGGTTTTATGGTTTTTGCATAAGACCGGTTATCATGAAACTTATGCACATGTTTTTGCCCTTTCCTTGCTCTTTGGAAATCGTCTGTGCTCTACGAGTCCTTCTTGAAAAGATGTCGATGTTGTTAAAAAAACAGACATTTGATAGACGTTTGCTCTCAGTGTGTGTACCGTTAACTTACCATTTGAGAGACTTCGTTATCCACCGCAATATGGAAGCTTTATCGAGGTCGTGTCGTATTGCGGGCTTGCTCTTTTCTTGTGGAGATAGTACTGAGTAGATGAAAAACCATCATTTTTGCAGTTTCATTATGATAACAGTAAGCTAGAGTGCTTATATAGGAGCGGGTTTACTCGTTGCTTGACAAGTGCTAATAGAGTTGTATCTTTTTGACGTTGTCGAACACTTCTCCCTAGTTGACAAAGGTCAGGGCAGAAAAAAAATAAGGTGGGATTCCTGAGAAAATTCTATGACGGTGGGAACGCTTTGGATTTGATCCATGCAACATAATTATTATATTGGAACAAGTATTGCTCAGCAGGTTCTATCTCAATCAAAGCACCTGCTATGCGCCATAGGAAAATCTTTGTGAAGAAGTTCTAGGACGCAAAAAACTTTCTGTCACCTTTCTTGGACAGGTCTTGCACCTTACGTGAGGTCATGTGTGTTGCATCAGACAGAAGTACTTCGTGATTTTCAATTCGAGGAAAGCTCACTGTTTTATTATTTGGTGTTAAAGCTGTTCCTGTCTTTATGGTGTCTATAGTATGCATGGTAAAGGTGCGATGAAGACTTTTTGTTCTAAGAACTACTACGTGTTAGGTGCAGCTTTTATTCCCTTCCATGAGCAGCTTACAGTATACGAGCGTGTTGTCTTTAATTTAGCACTTATGAAATCTTTTTACGAGGTAGCCGGTGATTGGGCCGAGTGTGGAATGATGGCACTACGCAGGTGTTAAACAAACGCAATCTTCTGTTTGTAGGAATTCTTACCTTTCCATCTATCATACCGTTCAGTCATTTTCATTCCACACTGTATGTGATCTTTCCTTTTCTTGGAAAAATAGTTTTCCATAGAACAGATGTGTTGTAGAGAGCAGATTAACAAGGTGGCTTCCAATGAGTATCATTAGTAATTCAAACAATTGTCATTCTAGAATGCGGACAGAGTAGTGGTAGGGATCTCGTTCATCAGAAACACGGTGCTAGATCGACCCGGTGCCAGCCGCACCAAGGTTCTCAACCGTCGAGGTCGGGGAATTGGTACCAGACTTGTCTGTGTCCAATTCACATTCTCAAATCTACACAAAAACGCTTTAACCCGGCTGCCTCAGAACTCCAAGGCGAATCGATTCGACCAGCATTTGATATTGTTCGTAAATAAGACAATCTTCAAGCAGCCGCCACCCACACGCGGCAAGTTCAAAGACCTGCGTGAATGGTGGATGCGAGGCAAGGAATAGAAAGCAATATGTGCTAGGATCCGCGCAGTAGATGCGAAGATGGGTTATTCGAATAGATAAGTAGAATCAAAATAGCATATTAAACAACACCAGTCAATAAAAAATAGTTTAATCTCAAAATGTACTTGGACGCTGAATCTATGAGTGTTCTCTGAATAGTCACAACGATCGTCCTGTCTTAAACGAGCAACGCAAGGAACTTCTCCCTGATTCATAAGACCTGCTTTAAGTGAATATAGAGAAACGCTGTAACTTGGCTATCGAACTCAATTACCATTCAGCACGTCAATGAACGCAAAAGACGTCTCTCCAAGCCTCTATATTAACCGAATGAAAGTGTAAGTCGTGCACGTCTGAAAGGTAATTAATTTTAGATAGTCCCACCCTACAACACACTGAAACCGTCACCTATTTTCGGTATTTTTTGGGTCTAATACTTTTACTTATTGCCTATTCCTTTTTCATAGAAAGTTACTATGTGAATTGCAATGACAAGGCTGTTGAGATATGAGCAAAACTCGGAGTTTCAATTGGGCTTCGAACGCGCGACCATCCCAAAAGTGCTATCCACTTCACCAATCGGGGCCGTTACTTTGCTTTTCTGTCAGCCGTATTTCCTCTTTATTCTAAATTGCAGGAGAACTTTTCAAGAAACGTAATCGTCATAAAAATGCTTTATATAGGTGCTGATTTTTTAGTGATGATTCAATGATAATGAATTTTAAAAATTTTTTATTTAAAGTGATTACTTTCCACCACTTTATGGGATTTCACTTGAACGTAGGTGATTAGGACCAGGAAGTTATAACGGTAATGTTATTCACACTTTTTTAAGTGAATGCTAATTCCTAAAAAATACTTTGCTCACGACTTCATAAATTTTTCGAGACAAAATGGTTTATTATGAGGGAGCATATAGAGAGTCTTTGTTTCACTTTCTGGCTCTATTCTTAACTCCTGACATTTTGTCGTATCGTAAGTATGAAGCTCTTTTGCAGAAGTGGAGGATAATCCGGCAAACACTTGCATTGTGGTGGTTTCCAGCCTCTTGGACCATAAGTGAATTCGTTTAGGAATGGGATGCGCACTGTTCGTCGTCATCTTCATGAGGGTTCAAATAGAGGAACGCTCTTTGATTTTCGGCTGCCTGGGATCGCTCCCTGGAATGGCTCTAGGATTTACTTTCGTACGTACTTTGTTTTATTGAACACTTTTCAGGAAATGTTTCAATGCAATCTTCTACAATATTAAGTAGCAATAAATCATTCCATCTCGATGCCCACGTAACGCATTTAGTTTTGTTCTATTAAAGGCAAAAATTTTACCGTCTGATTTTCGAAAACAACGTTCACCGTAATTTTTGATTGTATGGTTGTCAAATAAGCTGCCTCCCAACGGTTTACCGCCACATTGTGGCTAAGAAGTGTTCATGGGTGTCGGGCTGCGATGTACAGGCGGGGACTCATCTCCTCGACAGTGTCTCCCAAGCTGAAAAGCAGTCCGGCGTTTTCACCAGGAAGTCCTGCTAGGAGTAAACCAATACCGAGATCCACCACCTTCCTAATTTCAAATTAGTTGCATGGTGGCAAATCTTCCTTTGACCCACAAGAGCGGCAACTGCATGTGATGATGACGACCTAGGGCAAATTTTGCCCAGGCTGACCTCAGGACTCCAGCGAAACACAATGGCTAAGCTAGCAAAACTCCGAAAGATGGAAATTATGCTGGGACCCGCTCAACTAGTGAGGACGGGCCGTCCAAGTATAAAGTAGGTAACTAAGAAGTAAGCTGAATCCACTCAACGAGTCCAAGATATTAAAGCGAACTGGAGATTCAGTGACAACTCCGAGATGTCATTTATTAATTAAACGCTTGTCGACAGCTTAAATAAATGACGTTATCACATTTACAGTTTAGTACGATGTTATCATTCTGTGATAGCATGATCGCTTCTCGTTGAGATGGCCTTTTTCACTTGCTGTCGCATAGCAGCAGAGTGCAGCAACCGTCGCTCATCAACGTCAGCCAAATCATTCAGTCATTCGCTTTCACTTTCAGTTCCACTCGTTTTGGCTTTTAACGTCAATAACTCGTACCACTTTTACTCTATAGAGACTGTTTTAGCTGACGTTGTAGATTACAGAGGAGCAAATTCTTTCATTGGTATTCAAACATCTGTCTAGCAGGGGATCATTGGGGTTGCGGATGAAGTCTTCCCAGAGTATCAGTGCAGGGCAGTGAAGGACAGTGTGCAAGTTTAGACGGGAGAACCTCGCGAACCCCCGGTGGAATTCACGTCTCCTTTGATTTAGCTTTTTCCTCATCTAGTTGATCATTTCACTTTCTATTCCGAATTCCTTCAGATGCTCTTAGTATATGAAGGTATATCAGGAAATCACCGCGTTCAGGTTGATGATTACTTAGATGCAGCTCAGAAAAAAATGCTGTTTGTTTCCATCTGGTGCTCATTTGCGATCGCGCTGTTTCTTCTCAATTCTCAAGGCAAGAGGATGACGTATCCGGTTATTCCTGATTTCAAACCATGGAAAGCAGTAGTTCTGATCATAACTGGATTTATCGGAGGTGAGTTTGTTTCATATCCTACTTTTTTATCTACGCGCGCTTTCTAACTTTGTATTTATAGAAAAAAATCTGCAAAAACTAGGGACCACTGCAAATTTATTTTATCGAAAAAGTTGAGACTTGAAAAATATTTTTTGCTGGTCTTGTAACACCTGATGCTTGCTTAGTTTTATTCACTTTCACTTTATTTTCGGGCTCATGTGGCGCAGTGGTGAGAGGCGCCTTACAACACACATGTGGGATCGATCTCCGCTCCAGTGGGTCACCAAGCCTTCTTTCCTCTCGTGGTCGGCAAATGGTACCAGACTTGTCTGGGACGATAACACTGGCTGGATACATCGGTAGGCCACCGTGAGTTATTGTAAAGGCCCGATATGCATTCAATCACGTCCAAACGATGTTTAATGAAGTTGAATGGATGGCGCATCTCTCAGGCCAGGGATTGATCAACGCCGAGAGCTTTATCCATTACTTAGCCTTTATCCACTTTATTTTCATATGTCCACTTCAATAAAGTGTCGCGGGTTCGAAATGCAGTTGAGGTTCCAAGTTTTCCCAGATCTCGACATTTTCGTGGTTGTATTTACGCCCTGCTTTGAGGAAGAAATGAGTAGTAGATAAAAGCTAAAACATTGTATTATCAACTTAAATCTTTTTTTTACCAAAAACGTGCTGAAAAAATCAACGTCGCTACGTAAGGCGTTTTGGTTTGTTTGTATTTGCTTATAATTGACTTTGCTGAGCATCAAAATAAGTCTGTGCAGTTTTTTAGGGTGCTCATATCATTTTTTGCCATGTAACTGCAAAGAAAACACCTGCAAAGCACTTGTAGTCAATTTTGCCCAAAACAACTGGATACAGTTCCCAAGATCGACTTTCTATTAACCTCGGCATTCGGATATGAATGCGTCGTTTTCTTGTTCAGCAATCGCGAGGTTGTCGTTCAGCACACGTTTACTTCCATACAAAAACACATAATGTGACAGTAGCTGACGTTTCGGCAGTATCACCTTCTTCAGAGCAAGGATGGGTATAGAGCTGGATACATCATAGGTGTTGTCCTAGTTGAACTTCCAACAAGAATAGATAGAGGTATAGAAAGACTTGGAAAGATAGATTCGCCTCCTTAACAATATTATTGCACGGGACGGGCACTTTTTTTCCCAGAAACAATGTCAATGCTGTATACTTTTCCCTATCTCGTGCGCACTTTAACTCGCATATTTAGTGGGAACTCCATTTTCACAAACTCCATATCGCTTTGGATTTTGACTCGCTATTTTGTGCAAGTTCCGCCACTGAAAATCGTTGAAAAAGATGGAATTCGATGACCATGCAGGGAATACTACAGTTCATTTGCGGCAACACACCAGTTGGCGAGGCGAATTCGAGTGCACCAATGAGTTCCGATTATTTAAGGCGTATTTACGTCTTTCGCCGGCTCCGGAGTAGACATATGCATCTTCTCGATCACCACCCTACTGTTTCGAGTTTCAGAGAAGACGGCCACACCAACTACCGTCGTCGTTATGGGTTAGGTTTCACGAATATAAAAAGGTGAATTTTCCCAACTAATTTACGTTTAGGATTGAATTCAATGGTTGGAACGTACTGCCGTATCGTATGGTACGGTAACGTATCCGAGCTGGCTATGGAATATCTGAAAGTAACGATCCCAGTTGCTGTTAGCATGGCGCCATTCGGCAGTTTTGTCGGTTCGCATTTTCACAGACAGGTGCTGTTTAAGTCAGGTAGAACGTGGCGAATAAATTCTTGTATGTTGGCGATGACTCGTCGAGACACAAACGGAGCGTGCAGTTCTTTCTGATTCTGGCTATGTGTGAGCAGCGGTATTTAGCACAGATATTTTTAGGTTCTCGCGTGCTTTGTGTATGTGCTGGAAGCATTTTCAGTCGTCGGTTTTCTCATCACACAACCTCCATGGCATTTGAGTGACGTTTCCATCTGTTTCGTGAGCTTTTGCTCGAGTCTCCACTGTTTTCAATATTTATTCTCTTTCATTTCAGTTGTAATCGGTGCGGTTACCGTATTTTTCGCCTTCGGTCTCTTCTACATGATAAGCAGACTTGGAAAACGGATCATGGAAGCGCTAGAGGTACCAATCATCATAGCGACTTCCGCCACATCCGCATGAACAAGGCACCTTTCAGGCCAAAAACGACCACATTCATAATTCGCAGGAACTAGTTCAGATGAATCTGTAAATGGCTAGATAAACAACTTGATGTAAAATAAACGACTTGTGAAAGATATAGCGTTGAGAATTATGTGCAAACTGATTGAAGAACTAACAAAAAATGACAGAAAATTTTATATGCGGCTAGGGAACACCTTGGTATGACGAACTTCCATGTAGAATAATAGAGAAAGTGACATCAAATTTCATGCAATTCGAAGTGAATCGGGCTGCTGACGCTTCGCTTCTTGGTCATGTGCCTGACTATCTAGATGATTTTCCACAGACCTAATTGTTAGCTGTGCATGATAGGTAGCGGTACTCCTGAAGTGAGCACTGAGCGAGGTCACTTCGCCAGCGCTTCATAGCACCTACCGGAACATCTGCTTGCAGTGAGACAATAAAGATTTCGATTTTTCCATCGTCCATGCTGTCGGCGATTGTCGTCGCAAATTATCACCTCGATGATGTATGGTCGTTCGATTATGCTTAATGGTGAAAACAAGAAAAGCCGAACCGGTCTTCGCCACTCCTAAAGACTCACTAAAGAGCTACTCATGCTAACCCTTTGCAGATTGAGAACACTTGGCTTGCCATCACCACATCATCGCAGAAGGCAGCAATGCTAAAACACTGCGTCACGCATGATATTGTTTCATTATTTTATTTGATCCGTCTTCACGTCTACTGTGCGGATCCCAGCACTTCTCGCATTCGATTCGTTTCCTCGCATCCATTGCCCACGAAGATCTTCCGTTTTTACGTGTGGCTTCGGTTGCTGCTTGAGGATTTCCATCTCACCTTGAAGGTCGTAGAATGCTGCTCGAGCCGATTCTTCCTGGAGTCCTGAGACAGACGGGCTGCAACGCTCCTAATTGGAATGCAGAGAGTGATTTCGGTACCAATTTCCCGAACCTGCAGGGATGAGGGCCTTGGTTGGCCAAGGGCGGAATCGAACTAGCACCATGATTGTGATAACGGACATCACTACCACTGTGCTATCCACTCTTTTTGGCATGATATAGCCTTCCTTTTTAACAAAAAAGTGGTTCTACTTGCCTTGTATTTGAAAGAAACTTTGTACTCTGACAGTTGACGTGAAAAACCCCGGTCTGTACGTTGACAGCGGCTGAAAGCAGGTTTTCTAGATATTTGTATCTAATCCTGTCTAATCGGTGCCCACTCAAGAGATAACATGCTGGTATTAGAAAGGGACAACCGCTGAGCGACATATTCACCGTCCTTGATTTGATATGGAGTTATGGGAATATTGTCGTAGGAATCGAAATAGGATCTTGGATGATCATTTCCATTCACTATGCTTCTTTTGAATTATTTGATGCTCCTGATACCGAGGGCATAATATTCGTTTTGTAGTTGACGAGGCTCTAGGAGACGGTGAGAATGCTACGCACAACTCTGCGTTTTTAATCCAAACTGGTGCTTTTCTCTGATTAGGTCTCTCTTTTTTATCACACCTCTGCAGTTTTTCAAGTTTAGATATAGTTAGTGATTGTCTTGCGTACGCACGACTCTATGTCCTCGTATACGGTCAAAGTTTTTAGAAGAAGGAAGAAGTCAGGAAGTATATTTCGAACCCACAGAATTTTTAGTAGCATTGCGACTGTGGCGCAGTGACCGGTGGCGCTCTGCAACACACACGTGGAATCGATCCCCGCGCCCATGGCCCACCAAGCCCCCATCCTTCCGGGGTCACCAAATTGCTACCAGACATGTCTAGGAGGATAGCAGCACTGGCTCGATACATCGGTAGGCCACCGCGAGTCACTGTAAATGCCAGATATGCATTCAATCACCTCCAAACGATGCTTAATGAAGTCGAACGCATGGCGCATCCCTAAGGGATTGATCAACGCCGAGAGCTTTATCCTTTATCCTTTTCATTGTGAATGTGTCGAATTTCTCGCTAACCTTGTCGATCAAGGTAGAGCAGGTAGAGCCGGCCAAAGAGTTGAAGAAATGCAAATCTACGGCGTTTCTGGATTAATTTCTTGAATTTTACAGCTTTCCACCCTCCTTTGAGAAAAATAAACACTGCTGCAGTGGCACATTGGCAGTAGTCCGAAGCCGTGTAGGAGTATACAACAACTGTGACATCTTTTAGGCAAGACCTTAGGTTCTTAAACTATGACGTCGTTCCACGCTGTTCACTCCGTTCTAGTCTGCCGATTCCGATGTGAAGTTCTATCTAAAGGTGCTATTCTGGGTACATTCTTTTCGTAGAATTAGCAATTATGACCATGTAAGAGGTATAGTTTTTTTTCTGAAAAACCTTTCCAGTCTATCTAGAATATCTTTTTTGGATTATGAAGCTACCTAGAATACTTCACCTTGCCTTTATTATTACACGATGGTGAAACTCCAATTCAGGTTACTGCTAAACTTGCTAAATCGCATTTTAAGTGTACTAAATAAATATTATCCCATAAAACTATACACAAGTAATTCTTCGGTTTGAAAGAGTGCCCAACATTTCATTGACTGCGGATGTTCTGGAACGTGATCTTTTACACAATTCTCACGCCTTTTCCTATGTACTCCATGGTAATTTGCCTTTAACAGCCTCCAAACTGCAGTCTAAGTAAAGGTTTCGAAAAAATTATTAGAAAGATTTAGGAAATGACAATAACAACAACGGGGAAAACAGTAGAAAGAGTGCTAGTCAGGAACTTCAAGACCTGTGGTTTGCTTACCGTTAAATCTCGTATAGAAAATGGCGTATAATAAAACAGTTGAATTTCGCAACAAAGTTTAGGTTTTTCACTGCGTGGATCCGAGAGTGGGTGAATTCCAATTGCAAGAAGAATGAAGGATAAAGCCCTTGGCTTGGTACTTTCTTACTGTTGTCGTTTTGCAGCAATTCCATTGGAACGATAAACAGATAGCCATGGTCAATGTTTATTCTTCAACATATGTTGAGATTGGAACTACGGCTCTTCGCAATAAAGGAACGAATACTTCTTTCAGACACCTAAGAATTGCTAAGGCACTTCCGCGCAGCGCATCTTATTCGGCACCATAGTCTGGTCGAGTTGTCAGAAACGCCACTCATAAGCAGGGCACGTGCCAGTGCTAGCGAATCGGCGCTTCAGAGATCAGGATTTCGGTGATTGCACTTCCATTATCGCCAATCACTATTTTTTCGCGATATAAGCTTATGATAACACATCCGATGTGCCCTTGAAGCTAAGCCCGACACCCATTCATTCGCACCTAATCTCTCGGCTACCCCAACGATTTTTTCGCCGTCTCTTCTATGACACATCTTTCGTTTACACAATAGCTCTTCACAGCAGCACATGGCATCTGATAGATCGGCGATTTGCAAATCCCACATCTTCTTTTTTGCCTTATTATTCGGAAATTCGGGTAAGAAATGCAAAAAGCACAGAATCCAGATTCCTTGATATAACCCTCAACTCTGCTTGCAGCTGCTCTTGCTTCCGACGTTGATGCCAAAACATGTGCAAGAAAGCCTAACCTCTCCTTCTGTAAAGTAAGTGCTGAGTTTGTTACTCTATCAACAATAGGCTCCAAAGATGGTCAAATCCTCATGTGGCTTTGAATTCTACATTTCTAGGCAAACATTTTAATATACTACTGTTATTAGGGCTCCGATGTAGACCGTGGGATTGTGCAACGAAGAATCCTTCACGATCGGCTGAAACAAATGAGAACGCACACTGATGAAAGCCTTTTGAAAACAAGTTGTATGTCAGAGTTTTTTTCATGGGTCTTTGTTAGAACATGCTGAATATTATTTAGAAACAACGGCTGTATCAGATATTTGCTTTACTGAGAGCTTCCTCTTTTCACTTATTGTGCAATGTAGCTTTCAGCCATTGATCCGCGTCTGACGAAGGAAGAGATCACTTTGCTCACAGAAATTGTCAAGGCGGTGCAGAGGTTAGTATCACTTCATCCATCTAGTTCTTAGAAGTCCCAAGGATAAAATACATGATGTTAGTCCCGAATACATGAAGCATATTTCCATGCTTCTAATGCCAATCGGTACATTTGTCCACTAAGCGGAGTTGAGATATTCGCTCTGGGATCCAACCAGCGAGAACGTCACTTGAAAAAAAAAACTAGCTTCTTTGCTGAATAATGTTGCTTTTAATAAACATGTACATTGATTTTGTCACTTAGAGCATCGCATAAAAAGTACATTTTCTAAGTTCGACAATTCGGGTGCTCGACTTTTGGATGGGTGCCTACACCGGCGTAGTTTCCATTCACTTCGGCCATACACGACTTTTCGATTTGTGTCCACATGAGCTAATCGGGGTAAACAACGAATGCTCCTGTTTACCTTCCAGCGGTTACATTAAGTCTGTGATTTTTTGACCTATCTATCCTTGTAAATTTGTGATTTTGCTAGAAATATATATAAAGGTTCCTGGCTGTCAATCTCAACTCAAAGGTTAGATAAGTCGGAAAACATGGCTCGATTGCTCCATAATTATCGTCTAAGATCGCTGATATAGTCGACAAATCGATTCACGTACCATTCGTGGACACATCGCTGATGGAACTGCGTTTTCTGGTGACCCCTCTAATGCAGCTAGCCTACCAATAATTTCCTTGGGCTCAGCAGCATTCTGCGCTTTAACCCGTGCCACGTCTCTAGGAAACATATTGAATCACGCAAGCGGAATTCGAATTTTAATCCAAGTTGTCCAGATTTCTGCACTCTGTCAAAACTCCTCTATGCGTTAACCATATTCCATATCGTCGACACAAACACTTCTCTGCTCGCGGTATCTGCTAGAGTCAACTTGTGCGAGGTTTCCCACTTGCATTCGATACTTTCATTGTCCTGTATGTTATGTGATCCATGAGAACTGGCAGTCGCGTTCGACAGCGTAGAATGTTGAAGGAAGGTGTACGATAAAACCTACAACACTTATATAAGCATCAAGCCACTTGAGTAAAAT